TTGGTGTGTGTGTGTGTGTGTGTGTGTGTGTGTTTGAGCATAAGAAAAATGTATGGAACAGTCCATGTCCAATTTTACTGATGATTTGAACTTTATTAAAATGGATCTGACAAGTAGTTTTTGAGATTATTGAAGTAGAGGAACTGCACTGGCATGACTGAAAATAGCGAGTGCATTCACAAGATGGCTGCCATGTGAAGTGACTCACTTTAAAGAGTTTGAATTAACCCACACATTCCTGTTGTAATAGTAATACTAAAAGATCAATGAATAACACAAGGTAAAATAAAAACAATAAATACAATAAGTTGGATGGATACAACTGATATATTTGGACATTGGCATTTACATAAATAGTTAAAATGTGTGCACTCCATTTGTGACAGGATTTATTTAGTTTACTTACCAATGACAGTAACATTGAAACTCCAACAGTTGTGAAATTCATGGTTGATCTGTAGTTGAAAGATTCCAGAGTCTGTTTTGCTGGTGTTTCTGATGGTGAGATCTCCAGTTTGACTGTCGACCAAGAGTCTGCCTCTGAATCTCTCATCAACACACATGTGGATATCATTATTACTTATTTCCACAATGAGAATCTTATTAGGTCCAAAAAACCATCGAATTAAAATATCCTTTTGTATGTCTTTTAAATTAGTGTGTAGAGTGACAGAATCTCCCTCCTTCACTGTCAGCGCTGTCTGTGTTATGTCTGTCTCAGTAACAAAACACAACCACAGAAACATGTAAAACAGTTTGTCAGACAGTTAATCTCAGTCTTATCAATATTAATCTCTATAAACTATTATTTTTCTTTTTAAATGATAACATTCAAAAGCTAAATATTTTACTGTGAAAGAGCAGGAAACAGATGAAGTGAAACAATATGTCTGACAGAAATAAGAAGGACATAGATATGTGCAGTAAATTAACAGTAACATCCCCACTTACATACCTGGGCATGGCTCACAAAGTTGAGGGATGTTAGCATACAAAGTCTTGTTGCTGGTCTGATTGTTCAGCACACAGCTGTAGTTGCTTTTGTCCTGATATTTCACATACAGGCGTAGAGAGGGGTCGTGGTTAAAATGAAAAACCCTGACTTGGGAGCATACTTGCTTTTCTCTAAACCAGGTTAGATTTGCTTCTTGAACTCTGGATGCTGAACACTTTAGCACGCAGATTGAGTCTGATGGTAAACAATGTTGAAAATGTCTGGTAATATTAAGAAGCAGGAGCTGGAAAAAATCAGAGACTAATTAATAAGAAGAATTAAAACTAAAACATTAAGACAATCTGAAGCAATTATTAGGATAATTACAGAAATATTCAGCTAGTTAAAAAAGTTTAAAAGTATTACATCAGTCGTATGAATGCTGGGATCTCTGTTCTTCACTGGTGCAGTCTTTGTTCCATCAGCTTCAACGCACAACACCCATAGAACGTATACTGAAATTATGTACAGAGAAAACCGCTTCTTACTGAGACAATGCATCAAGTAATTTGATAAGGTATGAACAAAGAGACAGTACTAAAATAATCACAGAGCAAAAGTTAATGAAGTTTGCAGTACAATATTGTATAAATTAGTAAAAACGGGGGGTAAAAATATGCATACATGTAGAATTTACCTCTCAAGAGCCATAAAATAAATAGCAATCGAGCCATATTCTTCAAAAGAACCAATGAAATGGGTTGCTTGATTTGAAGCAAAACAACTAAAGTGAAGCTTGTTAAAGCTTTGAAGAACGGATGCAGGGTACTTTGTTTTTGTAGCAAACCTCAGTGCACGTGAGCCTTTTTTTTTTTGTTAGTTTTTTTTTGTTTGAGCACTTTCTCTTTTGAAACTTATCTGGGCTGGGTTTCTATTTTTAACTGTAAGCAAATAATAAAACTAATGTGTATTCCTTTTTGTTATGCTTTTAAAATGTTTAAATCAACATTTTTATTATGCTGGATTATCATGCAATGCAACTACATTCACTTCCTGTAAAAACCATTTTACATTTTTGCACCTATGACCTACTTTCACTATTCATGAAAACAGACCTGCATTATTGTTTTGTGTTTTTGAGATCAAAGATCAACTAAGATATTGTTCCTTATTAATAAAGTATCTAAAACCCACTGGACCTTATTTATTATTTTCAAGTACGAAAAAGTGGTGAACTCAAGTCAATTATATAAAATGATTACATTTTAGTTTTATCTTATCATTAGCCCTTTGGCTGTAGCCAGTGGTTTACAATGAATAAAGGTCCATTATCCTACTTGAAAGCGATTTTACATTACTGATTATGAATAGAATACAGTTTTATCGTGTGGTTTGAATACTTTCTAGATCTGACAGTTTTTGTGTTTTTTTTATCATTCTTACAAATACTACACTTGAACTATTGCTACTGTACAATAACTATATTTGTTAAAAGGACATTTACAAAGTATAAGCACTTTAAAGTCTGGATGACTGTTAGGAAGGACAGTTCTTGTCCCCCTTAAAATTGTTCATGGTGCCCTTGGGTAAACTCAAAGCAGATAAACTTATATAGTGGTGAACCAGAGATGCAATTAATGGACTAATTTTGCAGTTGGTACTTTTCAGAAATGATCTTAAATCAATAATCATATCGGAAACACTGCTGTCAGGACAGCACACTGATCTAGGGGGCACCATTTATCTGCTTTATTGCTTCGGCAGCATATAAATTTACAGCTAACATTTATCGAGGCATGGACTTCACAAGACTTCTGAAGTTGTCCTGTGGAATCTGGCACCAAGACATTAGCAACAAATCCTGCAAGCACTGCAAGTTGTGAGATAAGGCCTCCATGGATCGGATTTGTTGGTCCAGCACATTCCATAGCAGGGCTGTATACAGTGCGACATTTACAGTGGGTACGGAAAGTATTCTTTGTTATATTGCAGCCATTTGCTAAAATCATTTAAGTTAATTTTTTTTCCTCATTAATGTACACACAGCACCCTATATTGACAGAAAAACACAGAATTGTTGACATTTTTGCAGATTTATAAAAAAAAAACTGAAATATCACATGGTCCTAAGTATTCAGACCCTTTGCTGTGACACTCATATATTTAACTCAGGTGCTGTCCATTTCTTCTGATCATCCTTGAGATGGTTCTACACCTTCATTTGAGTCCAGCTGTGTTTGACACGTGCTATGAAAAAACTGGTCTGTGCGATGAATAAATTTGATCGTGTGCGATACAGTTTTGCATGTTCATAACAGAGCCACTTAATAGTGTGAACAAAGTGATTTCGTTGTGCTTGTTTGTGTGTGTGAGATTGATTATACTTGGTAGTTAGGGGTGTGCGATATGGCGATTTTTGATCGTGGATGATTAAAATGTCTCCACGATCTGCTTTTAAAGAAATATCGTTGTATCGTGCTATAGCGCACATTCTATCAGCTGCAGTTCTGATGCCTTCCTTCGTCTCAATATACTGTACAAAGCCACATGCATTCACATCAGTGTTAGCTCAGCGGTAGAGTTACTCTCACGGGACACTGCACTTATGCACAATCACAAAACGACATTATTTCCATCTGCTTTAAAGCCATACCGGTTAAACGTTTAAAGGGGTCATATGACATTGCTAAAAAGAACATTATTTTGTGTATTTGGTGCAATGAAATGTGTTTATGCGGTACTTACAGGCTGTGAGTCAGAAGCGCCAGACTGTCCTCTTTTGGAAGGCCAAACAAAGTAGTTTTGCTTTCACAATGAAACACACAGTGTCACACATGGCAGGCTAGAGTGAGGAACGGCGGGCGGGTTAGAGAACGGCGCGGCTGGCGGATTCGATGAAGGAGCAGCCGGCGGGCTTGCGGCAACCACATGTG